GGGGGGGGGGAGAGCACGAGCAGTTGGCAGACGAGTGTAATATCATTCTCGGTCTATAGATCCGTCGATGAGCTCAATACTCCATCGCCGGTCATGCACTTACTCGTCTACTATGCATAGGCGAGTGGAAGCAGCAGCTAAGAGCTATCAATAATAAAATCGCGCGAGGTCGAATCAATTGTAATGTGCGGCGTGCGACGAGTGCCATCAGCCACTGCTCTTCACTTCCCCGTGGCTGGGCTTTTGCAGCGAGCGAGCGAGCGACGCGAGTGAGTTGGGTCGGCGGGGGAGGGGGGGAGGATCCTCGTCCTCAGGTCTTTCGCGCCTAGGGTACAAGTAAGGCGACGCTCCAGTCGTCCGCTGCTTCGTTATTCACGAGGCTGCGATACCTGAAACTCTCCCTCTCTCTCTCTCTCTCTCTCTCTCTCTCTCTCACTTTCACTCACTCACTCACTCCCTCGCTCCCTTCGCGTCCTCTACCACCACAACCACCCATCTTTCACCCTCGACTCTACTCTAATCTGCTCTTCTCTGCTCTCTCTCTCTCTGTGTGTAAAGCTATCGCGTCCAATTGTTGGCGGCAGTGCGCGCACGCTTCCCTCAACGGCCTAACCATGTCATGTGCATTTCCTACGCTCTAATATTCGAGGTTAGGAGGCACGACTCGCGCTACCAGTCCACTAAATCTCCTTCTCGATTCTCCTACTCCCACGTCGAATTTAGCGCGCCATCGTGGCGACGCCGGTCAAGCCGAGTTCAGTCTTACTCGACCTCGTGATTAGTTTGTAATTTTGTCCCATTAACTGCAATTTATAACGCGCTGAGCATTCGCAGTCACCGCGGTACGTGTTATTTCTTCTTTATAGCCGCAAAATTGACCGATTCGTTCACGGTCGCTGAAAAACTATATTTATGATGTAATAACGCAATTATTTTCTCCTCCCTCATTTAGAATCCTATAAAAATTTCATTTCTTTAATGCCGACCGGGACACTATGCTTTTATCCCTTTACGTTTCATTTATTATTTTAATTGGCGCTATAATCAAATAGCTTTTACGTTACTTTGGCCTTCTATCCCGAAATTGATAATCCAAGGCATACAAGGAGAATTAAAAGCGTGTCGATGTGTTTTTAAGGCTGACCGATGCGACGGATCCGAATTACACGTAAGCCGAGGTACACTTGTACGTTCGTAAATATTAATTGCGGCGATGAAACGAGTATTAAAGTAAGGGGATCGAAGCGCTCGTTGAAAATCTCAAACCATAAAGCTGCTGATCGTAATATTGCTAGTTTGTTACAAAGCTTATTCGTATGGGCGATTTAAATGGCGATTCCCTTTGATGCGCTCGGTCCTCGGTCTGTATTACATCGAGCGAAATGAAAAAAAAAGTAGACGAAGATGAAAAAGGAAAAAAGACCGCGCGCACATGAGCGACGGCGTTCCCCGTTAATTTGCCAAGATTGGCCGTGAAGCTATCGTCGCCGATCTTTCACGAATAAATAATAATTACCGAGCGATCCTCGAAATTAGCCGTTGCGCAAAAAGACTCGTGGAGCATAAGGCGGAGGTGCGCCCATCGGCAAAAAGTAGACTAATCGCGCGCCCAGCATTATGATAAAACCGTTAAAGTTACGAGTCGCTGCCGATGGAACGCTCGTGACGGAACCTCCGGCAGAGAACGAGAGGGGAAGAAGATGGAAAAGCTAAACAAAGCCTCGACTTAATATCCCGTAAACACTTACTCAGCGGTGCACTTGAGTCTAACTCCGCGCCACGAAGCCTCTCGCCCCCGGCGACCTTAGCAAAAGCAAACAATGCAAGCGCGTACGGCACCTAGGCCATAATAAAAGAATCGACCACTCGCCCCCCCCCCTCCCACCGCCTCGTCATCCCTCCCCCGCACCATTCTATGACAACATAATAAGATGACTGGAAAACGAGCAATAATCGCGACCGGGAGGTGCGTAGCCCAGCGACACGAGCGAGATCCGAGCTTCCGTCCGTGAGCGCCGAGCGTACTTCCGCCTCTTTTCTCTACCTCTCTCTACCTCTCACTACCTCACCTCTCACTACCTCACCTCTCACTATCTCTCTCTCTCTCACTATCTCTCTCTCTCTCACTATCTCTCTCTCTCTCTCTCTCTCTCTCTCTCTCTCTCTCTCTCTCTCTCTCTCCCTGCCTCACCCCTCTCTCTCTCTCTCCCTGCCTTACCCACTTCCGAATGCGTGAAGAATAAAGCGCCGGAGCTCGGGTCCGATAACCAGAAGCGGCGCTCGCTTTCGTCCGGCTTTAAAATCCAACACGCCTTCGAGCGGCGCATAATAAGCCGGAAGTTTTATTGCCAGCCTGGCATTCAGCCCGTATTTTTCACGTCGATGTTACTTTTCTCCATTATCTATCCTCCCCTCTATCACCGACCACGACGAGCTTCGCATTTAAGCAGGATATCGCGAAAAACGAAAATTGGTCTTGCGACTCGTCGTCCATTTCGTGATCCAACAAGGGCGACCTGCCGTCCATGGCCAGCTCGTGCCCTCGTTTAATCAGCGGCACCAGGCAAAAAGGCCCTAAGAGTGAGACAAACGCACCAGAATATTCCTTCGTTTAAACGATGAGCCGCATTACGTCAGCATTTTTATAATACCACCACAATGAGCGCGAGCGACTGACTTTTCAGGTTCGAGTGCTTATTGGCCGAAGGGTCTGGAAACTGAAATTTTCTTCACGGTTTATCATCAGCGGCTTTATTAATTTCCATGAATAACTGTTCGTTGTGAGATGAGGGACGTCGTATTACGATGATAAACAACGTTATTCCTGTGCATTTATAATAACCCTAAGGCTCTGAATTACAAGATATTATTTTATTCAGCCAGGAAACAAATTAACCGAGACATCACTAAGTATCTGCTAATTAGCGTTGCACAAGGAAAAATCAACTGTGCATTCTTGGCTAACTAGATGCTGCTTATCTCTCTTTACTTCCCAAATTAGAAAATGCCCGACCTACGAGGGAATATTACTTATGACAATTTACGTGTCCGTTAACTCGTTTGACATAATATCTTTTCATAAAATCCTATATTTCTCATCTATACGAGTTTGTAAGTGAATTCCGTCCACTCTACATATATACATACATACATATATATATATATATATATATATATATATATATATATATATAATCTTTGCTAGAATAGCGAGAGCAGCGAATCTAAGGAAAGATTCACCTCTTTTTTATGATTTTCATTATGTAAATGGACTTGACTTGTTGGAATACGAGGCGCATGAAAGCCGAGTGGAGTCGAAAAATATCGCCTTTATTAATTCGACAATTGGTTTTACCGCTACGATTAAACCACCCTTCTACTTTCCCTCTTACGTTCTACCCTACCCCGCCGCCTTTTCTTTATTTTTACACTAAGCAATTACCTTAATTAAGCGTATTAACGTTCCTTCATTCTTCTATGTTTTCAGGTGCGCACTTTGTTCGTCAGTGGCTTGCCGATGGATGCCAAGCCGAGGGAGCTTTATCTTCTTTTCAGAGCATACGAGGTCAGTCTACGTTTCAAAAGAATATCCCTTTTATCCAACGTACTTCAAAAATTTATCTTCGTTTTTTTTTTCTTTATATCGCTGTTGAGTTTTAGCCGCTATATGCCTTTATTATTTTCCGCCCGACTCGTATTAACGTGATTAGCACGATAGTAATCAAATTTTTATATTTTTATAAATCGTCCCCCCCTCCCCACAACCCCCCCCCTCCCACACCCCATTTAGCATCAATTTGACGAACCAATTGTTTTTTCACTTTACGCGGGTCATTCGGAGCCCCCGAATACATATTAAAATCAGCAGGATTAAAATATTCTTTATTAATACGTCATTAAATTTAGTGCGACCATTCACTTAAAACAGATTAACAATCGATAGAGTTCTAATGTAAATTAAAGTGTTATTTTCGTGCCGATGCAACATTCGCGCAACTCTAGTCCCTGGACATTTTATATTATTTAACGAGCCAGCGATTAATGAAGAAGAAAATTAAAGGCTTATTCTGATAAAACATGATAGTGAAATTACAGCATAATAGACAATGAAGCACTAACAACTTTATTAAACAATAAATACAAAGTTGAACTTATATTCCATCATGTGTAATTCATAAAATTAATTTAATGTAAAATAATGACAATGTCTCTATTATATTGACATGGTATAAGCATATTTTAAATTACACAATTAATGTCTATTTGCACCATTAAAATAATATCAATTGTCATTAATTGTAGCAGCACAATGTATTTAACAACTTATTTGTCCATTTTATTTAAACGAATTTAAAGTTCTGTTGGTTGGTCAACCTGTGAACAATAACATTTTCATGGATACTATACGATCCAAACACTTATAAGTAATTAAATGTTGCTTTTAATCTGTATAAGCAATTTTTATTTATATGTAATTTTTCTTTAGCTAAATAATTTGCAAAATCACATGTCACAACCATCAAAACAAATTGCCTTGGCTATTATATATTATTTAAAATACATGTTGTATATCAAGTTTTATATATTAATACATTGTTGATTTATTGAGTCACGCGTACTTTTATTTAAGTACATTTATTTTACTTCCAAGTCGGCTTACTTTCCATTGTTTAACATTTATTCATCTGTTATGCATATACAATAATAATGCCAAGAATAAAAATGTATTTTCAAACCATTCATTATTTGGTTACAAAGAGGAAACATACAATATATATTCTGAAAATATATTATAAAAATATAAAATACAGTGATATATATATTTATAATTTTTATATTAACAACTTGCATATCTAATTTATCACATTGAAATGTGATAGGCGTAGGAAAATATAATATGAAATAATTTCTCATACACATGCAAATGCTCATACACGGGTTGATTAACTGGTTGATGAAGAGAATTCTATAAAGCACAAATACTTATCGCTATACCTATATATACAAAAAATGTGTACTAACTTATTCAAAGATAAAAGTCATAGTTTTCTTTTTTCATAATATTGGCATTTTAATAAACAATTTTACCTATTTATCAATATATTTAATTGAAATCACTTTTTTCCATTAAGATATGAAAATTCAATGTTATAATGATTAGAATAATAACATAATAATTAAATTTAAGAAAATAATTAAAAACATCTAGATTTATAGATATAATTATATAAGAAACATGGTATAAAAAACTTTAAATCAAAGACTTTATTTAACAAAGTAGAGTGTCGAATTGTGAGAAAAACATCATCTTTATCTTAATATTTATATTATGTTTTGGGAGATTTAAAAGCCAATAACTTAAATAAAATTGTAAAATATTTATATACAGCAACAAAATAATATACATATATATATATATATATATATATATAAATGAAAAGAATCACATAGATTTGTTAAAAATATCCGCGAAAGATTTTTTTCTCTTTTTTTCTTAATCTCATACCATGCGTGAAGCAATGATTTTTCGAATAGTACCAATGTTTAACATTATCTATTATTAATAATAATTGTGATATTTTATTCCAATGAAAATATGAATTTGCGCGGGCATGTAAATTTGTAAAAAAGACATAATTCCAAAGGTAAAATACATAAAGCTTTTTAGTCGTACATTTGACGACAATTACTAACGATACAAATGCCACTTTAGCAATATCTATAACGCTTTCATTGCTATGTACAAACAAATATTTCTCAGTTAATTAGATAATAAAATATTTAGCTATATTTTATAAATTTTTAACTATATTTGAATTTTTTTTATTCAAATACGATGGCTACATAACTATTCCTACATAAATACAAAGCAGACTACGTGCAATATTATTAAAATATAATATTTCTGCGAAGCGCTTGTTTACGTATTTTGACCTTAAACCTTCTCTTTGAGAATAAGCTTATAATTCTTAAAATACATTATTTAATTTTGTTGTTTGTTGCCAGAGAAATATTTTCACTTAAATATATGTTCGATTTTACAAAATATATTATTAGAATTAACAGTAATCAGCGATAAAATAGTAAATAGATAAACGTATAAAGCTTTTAAATAAAAGAATTCAACTCTTTTCCGTCACAAATTAAATACTTTATTATCTTGATGAAATATTAATTACAAATATTTTAATTATAAATACATTTTAATATATTTACATTTCATTTACATTTTAATAATATTACAAATTGTCTAATTGTATAGATAAAATTTATTACAACGATGAACGTTGACGGGCAAGAAGATACTTATTATTCAGTACCTTACGCAGCTTATCGTTCTTGTAAATTAATTGTAATTAGTAATGAAAATAATTTGTAAAAGAAATATCAAGTGATATTTGTTATATAATCATTTGATTTATGAATAGAATGAATTTTACTCGAAGGAAACATTTATTAATGAAATTCGAATTTATTCATATATTCAAGAGCTAATAAATAATTTGGAAAATTATTGAATATTAGAAATAGAATAAGTACAATTGCTAATAAAGAATTGATCGATAAAATTCTCGTTGTACAAATCGTTTGTCGTTTTTTCCTTTTATCAACAAAACACGTGAGATAAATTTATAATCATCGTCATAATATATGGTTGAATTTTTATTAAAAAATACATTTTTATGTTTGTATGTTAAATTCTCATGCAGGAAAGACTTGTAACTTTAAAAATTTAAACGTTCATGTTATGTTCTTGCAAACATATTTATTTGATGCTCGTTTGAAATAAATTTTTCATAATTAATATTTAATAACTAATAAAAGTAAGAATTTTTTATTACTCCATTAGGTAGAGATTGCAATTTATAATCATTATGTAAATTAAAATCGTTACATTGTTAAATTGAAAATTCTAGATATATAATTTATATTGAATAGAATTTCATGTTTGCAAGATTTTTAACGCCTCTCTTAAATCGCGTAAAAAAAGCACTAAATGTAGATCGTGGTTCTTGCAATATGAATGATATACCTGATAAACTTTTCTCTTTCACAGGGTTATGAAGGCTCTCTGTTAAAAGTCACGAACAAAAATGGAAAGTCCGCTTCGGTAAGTACATTGACATTTTATTATTTTTTACCACTACTACTACTACAAATTTTTTATATCGTAACTACATATTTTTAGACGACGAGCTAGATCAGATGAAAAAGCCTTATTTCTATTCATATTGTATATTAATAAAGAGTGAATTATTATGATTATAGAAAGTTTAATTAAAGGGAATGTAATCAGTGAAGAATTTTCCACGTAACGCCATCATTATATATCGCAAACTTTCTTTGTAACTCATACGCACACATGCAGAATAAACGTACAATAATTTAACAGGCAATATCAAGTCGTATCGCGAGTGTAGATTTCATCATCTATACGTTTGAATGGCAAATCTTGTATTGTAATTATTGAATTTCGAGAATTACACAATGTCCTTTTGTATTCAATAATACCAAGTAAATTAATCAAAAGCAGCACTAGGACAGTGCTGTTGGTCCTAGAATTTTAATTTCTCGATTGAAATTAGTTTTCGATCGCAAAATAAACTTTCGTTGCGTCCAACGCGTACGAGGACATTCGGGCGCCCGACTAGCAACGAAAATGAAAGTGAAAGACCGTCTAGATAGCCAAGCGCGGCTTTTCAATCCTATCAAGCAGATTTTCATATTATTTCTACGGCCATGGGCCAAAGACCTTGCCGGCGCCAATAGCATATTTCATTTCCGAACGGAACGATTTGCCGCCTTAACGCCGCTGGCACTGCTAGGTACGACACTGGGCAAATCGATATTCGCGAGTGGTGGCTCGTCATCGCCGAGCCCCTGGTAGATTCGATCGGATTTTCCGGAATCACTTTCTGTCGCTCTCCTACCTACCTGATCTCGACCTCTGTCTCTCTGTCTCTGTCTCTGTCTCTGTCTGTCTCTCTCTCTCTCTCTCTCTCTCTCTCTCTCTCTCTGTATATATATATATATATATATATCTTCTCCCCAAACCACCACCTAACTCCCTCCTTTACCCCACTCCGCCCATCATTCGCGCATTCTCGCATTCTCGCATCCATGCATCCTCGCATCGGCCGCTCTTCTCAGCTTGACGCGACGTCCATACGTCACCCTTTTATCTCCACGTGCAATTAGTCTACGAGTTTTTAGCACTAGCGGGACGATAATTGGATTCCGAGCTTATACACTTTACTAATATGATAGTCATGATATTATTATAAAGTAAATGTGTCAAAAGTCTCATTCCGATAAGGTGTTTACGATTCGGTGCAATTATGTTTCCTTAACGATAATATTTTCCTTCCGGCAATAATATACATTCGTTTACTTATAGTTTATGCAATCACAAGTTATATTACGACGCGATGATAGGAATTTTGTAAAAAACATTGCATTTATTTTTCTTCAGATGCTCGCGTAATCTCTTAAATTAGAGAAAGAGAATGGAGAGCGAATAAATAGTTAATTGTTCTCGCAATGCTAAGTAAATTATAGTTAATATTTGCCATTGTATTGTTGTAAAAATAAAATAAAACTGGCTGTTATGGTTACTTACGCGTATATTGATAAGAATAGAAGGGAAAATTGATTTTACTTTGTACAATGCTATAGTATTCTAACACTGGAAGAAAAAATTGTAAAATATTCAGGAGTATTAGATGGATGGCATAAGCGAATATATTCAATTGCGATCGATTCATTTTACATGTGATATGGCTTTTGCTGTTAGCTTTGCATCAACTGTTATGAAAATATAATATTTTATACTTCCTGTTTATTTAATTTCTCCGAGTTACATGACCAAACTCTTAATTACATAAATTTTTCTCTGCACGTACCTTATAAAGCAATTTATACGGATAGATAGTCAAAGTATAATCATATGACTTGTATATTATAGGAATATACTATTCGTAAAAGTATGACCAATCTTCTTTTTTTTCTTCCCTGTTAAGTACCAACATTTACAAACAAACAATATAACAAATAAATAAAGTTAATATTAATTAGTATGCCAGGTATATTGAAATCCAATCCGCATGTGGATTAAAAAACAATGGAAGAAAAAAGAGAAAATATGAATTGAGGCGAATAAGGGTATCGCGTAGACAGATGAAAGCATATTGAAAATATCAGGATGGGAGTAGGTTGTTTAGCTTGGAGGTGAAAATGAAAACTATCAAGAACAGACGATGTTTTTTGTTATTTCAGCCAGTGGGTTTTGTGACTTTTCACACGAGAGCTGGAGCTGAGGCGGCGAAACAAGACCTACAGGTAAATCAACTTTTATTATTTATACATAAATATACGACGTTCGTATCGATTTAAATAAAATGACAATCGTTTAATTTTAACTTCGCACTCAAAGCCATAAGCGAGCGAATATTTACTTGCATACACACACCTCGGAGATCGATCATGAAAGAAGATGGAAACAAGAAGCGACTAATAGACTACTACTGCCTTTTGAGTTCCTTTTCGCTAGATAAAACGCGCCGGGCTTGTTCAACCCTGAACACGCGCGAGCTCTCTCATCTTACTTGCGCTCCTCCTTTTTTCTTGTCTAAAAAAAAAAAAAAAAAATTTTTTTTCTTTTTTTTCCTTTTCTTTAATCCCCTATTCTTGAAACTTCTATATATCTACAGAACCGTTATTCTCTGTCTATTTCCTAATAGGTCCGAATCTCATCCAAAATCTTACTCTGTTGACTATAGCTGGCACGGGTTAATGCTACACAGCTATTTCATTTTTTTTTGATAATATTTGCTCCCTATGATCCTTTTACGTGGTTTTTAATAAAGTACTTTTAATATTATCTGCAAGTTTTTTTCTATGAACCTGCCCTGATAATGGAGTTACGTAATTAAGCTTATATTTTTGCGACTATATGTGCTTTGCCATTTAATATAAGTATAATTATATCGATAATAATAATAATTGTAATGAATAAATAATTGATCAGAATAATTAAGTATACTTCGTGCTTTTTGTATTGTCAAAGCTTACAATAATAATACGCTTATTTATGTAGAAAACAACTTGCAAAATATTTTATCCGAATATAGTTGCTGCAGTATTGATATTAAAACTTTGATCGCACAATTATTTTAAATGGGCTTTCAAAATTCATTTGTAAATTTTTATAGAAATATAATCAAACTCTTATTAAATTAATTAGAATTATGCAGGAAGTTATGATACGTTCAATCTGAAAATATAACAACCGAATTGAAAAGTTGAAATGTACAATTAAATTAACAAGCGTTAGATGAAGTTTATAGGCTCATTTAAAAAGTAATATCGATGCCTTCCAAACGCAAGGGTGAATTCACGTTGTTTTGTATCTTATTTCCTATCACAACTAAGCAACAGACAAACTATTATGCATATAATCAAAGCAACATGTACATAAAGTAATATGACTATTAATTCAATCCTTTCTCTCTCTCTCTCTCTCTCTCTCTCTCTCTGTCTTTCTCTCTGTCACACATACACACACGCGCGCGCGCGCGCGCACACACACACACAAACTTCTCAGTGTATTCGTTTAAATCTATAAATACGTATGTTCATAAGAATGGCAAATCGTCTAACGAACCTTAATCTGTCTACGAGTCATTCAGGTTCAGCTTACCGCCACATTATTAAACGAACAACTAAGCCGAAAGAAGAGGCCGACTTGTATTTTACAAAAGACAAATAACACGTAGAT